GCGTATAAGTCTAATAACGATTTAAGCATTTAGGAATCTTACTTTTACGATTAACATGAATGCTTTTAGAAGAGCGTTTGTGTTATGAATAGGCAAAAGTTGCACAATAGGTAAATGAGAGGCTTATTATATAAGAATCTTGTTATGATTTAATTATATAGATAATATACTTCTAATTAAACTCTTTCAGTATTGAAGAGTTTTGTGTAGGAGAAACTATTTTGTTAACGGCAGTTAATTAAGTGTTAATTACATCACAACCAACAAGACAGGCTTATACACAATGGCTCAGATTGGTGAGTTTTTTTTAAAGCCGCGTTTAGTAATAAAAAAATTCAAGACAGGTTAAGCAAACATTTGATTTATCTAATAACTTTGGATTTATAAAGCAATTTACGAAACAATGAAACTAAAATTATTATGCGAAACTGACAAATTACACAGAATTGCTTAATTTTACTATTTGTACGCACTCTCTCTACTACTAAAAACCGTGGTTAATCAGAAGTACTAAAGTTCTATAGTTAAATGTAAACTGTCTGTAGTGCAATTATTCAACAGAACTTGAAGTTTGTTTTTGATCAAACGAGGTTATGCACGAACATTTTATTATATAAACATCTACAGTTATAGCCAATTTCTATTCTATTCTATAATAATTATTGTTATTATTATATTTATTATTATTGTTACATTTAGCATAGTTCTTAAAGTAAGAAATTAATTTCGCCGAAATTCGAAGTTGGAAAAAGTGTGATAAGCCAAACGCACATCGTCGTCGGCTAAATCCGTATAACTCGGAACCTCCATTAATGTGAACTCTTGACAACAGAATTACTAGAAATAATTGTATGACAATCTATGATTTTACCTTTATATTTTATAACTAAAAGAATGTCTAATATTTTAAGCTTTTTTGCCCGTTATTGCGCTAGAAAAGTGAAAAAGGGATTGTGTCCAATAACGGAGTTACGTAGTTTTCAAATTTAGCCGACGACTCGAATAATACAGAGGTATGAAAGACACTTTTACTCTATAGAGTAAAAGTATTACTCGTAAGATGTTAAATATGAATGTGGTTGCTATAGGCGCCGCGCAAACGCATGTCTTGTGTTGGACACAAGCAACCGGCAACTTTATTAGAACAGAATATTCTATTGTCGTAAAAATTGCTGTTGCGGCAATAGGCGACTGTGTCAATTTCATATAAGTTGTGTAAATTCATTTCTAGTTGCCGGTTGCTTGTGTCCAACACATACACACGTTTGCACAGCGCCTTAGGGTAGAAAGAATACGAACAAAAAGTTGAATGGGTTGCTTGAATGATGGGAGGAAGAACGAAGTGATAGCTGATGGCATGAATGCTATAATGTAACACAGTACAGCACATCTTTTTCTTCAAGACGACGTTCTGCGCGAAACTTTTTATAATTAACTAAAAGATCTTATCATTTTATCACTTCTTACGATATGCGTTTTGTACATTTCCTTATCCAAATCTTTTAATAAATAAAACATTGCACAAGCTACATTATTCGAATGAAGATGAAGGTAAAACCCAGACGAACAAAGACAGTCGTTTGTTAAAATTTAAGATCCGTGATACAAATTTCACTGCAATAAACTTACCGTGTTCATCATATCCCAAAGGCCGCTGAGACGACTTGGATGATACGTCATCTTTTTCACCATCCCCAATGCATGGGTTTCCACCATCATCAAGTCGATCTTCTTCACCAACAACCTCAAGTCATAATACTTCGCCAGGAGTTCTGGGTGCGCAGGTAGAGCGAGGAAGAGAGGTCCTCCTCCTGAAGAGTGAATCGCCTTCCGAGCTGCTTCGACGGTCTCCAGAACTTTGGACCGATTGAGGGATTTGTGAGCATCGTGAATTTCAAGACCTTGGATGTGCTTCGACTTGAAGAGAGAGCTAAGGTCCTGTGAAAGAAATAAATGTCATTAGATACTGTGTTTTATTTTAGAACAAAAAAGATGGATATATAGATCCTTATTAGTACTACATTTTGTCTCTTCCTTTTCCCTTTCAGTAATATCTTGGCAGTATCTGCGTGAAGAAATTTTTTTAAGGAACATCATAAGAACGTTGAACAGAACTCACAGACTAACTTATTACAGAGATGGATGTACAACAAATTTAATGCTAAAATCTTTTTAACTGACATTGCATACAATTATTTACGCACTCGAATCGCAGTATAACACAATACAAGTACACTATGAATACATTGAATTTGTTAACACATTTCCGTTGCTTTGTTCTTATTTTCGATGAGAATGTAAACGTGGCGCTGTGTTGTATGTTACCGGATTAATTCAAAGGTAATGGAAAAATTTCTATAATGGAATGTACGTACCAAAAATAAGTTGTATTGAATACATTTCAACGAAACTACCACCACAAAAATAATTGAAAACACGTAATTTTTTTATTAACTTAACACAAATAATCTCAGTACAGAGTACTGAAAAAACCGACCTCAAAAGTACGTGGAATTACGGGTATTTGCTAAGTTTTATTGAAATATCCCCTAGTTCGCCACTATACAGGACTTGACGCTGGAGATAATAAAAATAGCTTCTCACTACGACACTACTCATAGTATATTGAGAGAAAAACGCCTTGAATGGGAGAAATAGCACAATCAACCATTAAAGTAATTGCTCCTAAATTAAAGTTAGGCGCTATTTATAAAAATGAATCTTCATGCGTAAACAGCCACCCTTTGAGGTGGATGATTTTCTTCAAAATGAAATGGGACCACTATGGAAGTACCCCCTTTCCAACAAAAAAAGAATCATGAAAATCGTTTCACAAATACCGGAGTTATCGCGTAACACACATACAAAAAAAAGGAAAGGAGAAAGAAATTATATCCCAATATCTAGTGTAGGTTATATAGATCAATTGCTTCTGAGCCCCTGCCGCCCTAATAATAAAGCACACACACTCAATATAGCCCCTCACTTGAAAAACCCTGGGTCGCGGGTGCCATGGACACACACATAGACAACCACATTTTTTTTACATCTAAACTCACGAGAGAAATAAATGAAGTTAATACAAATATTTCTCCCGGCCTAGAATCAAATCTGGGACCTCTGCGTGGCAGTGGCCACGGAGGCAGTTACAATCTAGAATTAATTACAATTTAGCCATTTTACAATTTCAATTTAACATAATTTCCTACAACAAAAGTAACTTGTATAAAGAAATTGTCCATCGACAAAATATCTTTCTATGTTAGTTAAGGGGAAGACACTTTATTTATGTGTTCAAAGTCTAGTTAACACTGGCATTAATGTTTATTTTATTCACTATAATTAACTAATCTAACTCAAAAGGTTTTTTCTAGTCCTTCTTTGTAGTCTACGCACTATATTTGTATTGTCTAGCAGCTGTGTAGCCTCTATGTTCACGTAATGATTTACTCTATGTTCATGAGGCTCGACGTACTTTTTTATCACTTTACTTACAGGCTCTATATTCAAATTGCGATGCAGATTGTCCTCAGTATTTTATTTTGGAAGCGTTGTATTGTCTGTATGTTGCTTTTTAGACAAATAAAAATACATTCAAAAATAAAGGTTAAAAATAAAGTAATGTCTCCACGAAGCAAAATAATAT